CGTAGTATTAAGCAAGTTTTTAAAAACTTTTATTTATATCTTTATGCATGTTTTCAGTTAGGAATTATTCTATAGCAGCAATGAAAAAAACAACGTCTCATTTCCCATGTTTCCCCATGTGCTTTTTATACAAATAGATCGGCCGCTGCTGCGGTTGATAATTAAATTACTAATCAAGGGGCTCACCATAGGAAAATATACCACTATTTGTTATCAAACGTTAGGGGTTTCTTAAGGGATATATTTAGTTTGTTACAAATTTTGATTCGATTTTCCAAGTTCCACTGAAAAAATATTTCATTTAGAATTGATAAATCAAATAGAGATATTATAACTTCAATCTCTTTAAGTTTAGTACTATTCCCACTATCAACTACATGTACCAATACTACTATTATAATTAAAACAAAATTGACCCCTCCCCCCCCCCCCCCAAAAAAAAAAAAAAACAAACAAACAAACAAACCAAAAAAAAAAAAAAACGAAACAAAAACAAAAGCAAACAAAAAAAAACATAAAAAAAAACAAAAAAAAAACAAAACAAAAAACAAACAAACAAACAAACAAACAAACAAACAAAACAAAACAAAAAAAATCCCAAACAAATAATAATAATAATAAAAAAACCGGGACAGGACACTTTGAGAGGGTTGGGCGGGGCCAAATGGGGTAATGGTATAAAATTTCATTGCTAAAGTTCAGAAGCTTCTTGAGATACCGCTCGGGAACGAAGGTATTACACACAGACAGAATGTATGAATTTACAACCTTGACCTTTGACCATTTTGCCCTCAAAATCAATAGGGGTTTTGACCTTAGGCCTCAGCAATTGCTATGTAAAGTTTCATTGCAAAAGCTCAAAGGCTTTTTGAGTTATCGCGCAGAAACGAAAGTGTTACAGACAGAAAGAAATACAGACGGACGGACGGACAGACCCAAATTAATATCCCCCACTTTCATTGAAAGCGGGGGACAATAAAGATTTAGATCTCAATTAAGTTTTGATACCTTTAATGTCTGTTTGTTTTTAGATAAACTTTTTAGAGGGTAGCAAAATTGGAGCAGTCGGCATCTTGATGTTCTTTGTTTTCATTGCAGTCTGAGAGGGATAAATTCAGACATCAGTATAGTGAGTGTCGACTCAAAATACACATTGGCATTGAATTTCAGGAAAATCCCAGTACGTTTCAATTCCAAGCTTAATTAATATTGTTCTGTGTTTTCACATGATTATACTTGATACAGAATTTATCTTCAAAGAAACACTCTAGTTTGATTTCTAGAGACACTAGACTGAGAAACAATCAACATCACTGATAAAAGTGTTCACAACAACTTTGTAAGGGGGAATTTGATAATAAATCAATTAATTGCAGCTTTTAAACCTTGCGTCAGAATAATCTTTATAACTGCCTTACGCGCCTCTGCCTTGTACGCTTGAGAGTAAGATAGCCTTTGAAGGTTGCCTTTATCGTTCCAAAAATTGTGGCAGCAAATACATCTTATAATGCTGATGAAACCAATTACATATAATTTCGGTTTCTGTACTTGGAATATTGTCTAATACGTACCTGCAAAGCGTACATGAAAATGGCATTTAAATCAATTTCATAATTGGTTTCAGTAAAAAAAAAATTAATTTCAAAATACTTCTTGTCAGGTGTCATCAAATAAAAACCCTGATAAATTCTTATATTTATTTACTTGCATTAATGGACTACTTTCTGAGAAATATACTGAAACGCAAAAGACACAACATCCTATTTTAGGAGGAAAGATTATATCTAGGATATAATTTTGTATCTAAAAAGTAAGGACATCTTCAACTTTGTAAATATCGGTAATTTAACGGTTGAATGATTTTTATACCATTACCGGAAGTTAGCTTGGAGTCCGCTAAGCAGAAATCAAAAATTGCATGTTTAACAAAACATTTGGCAATAATATGGGGTTTTAAGGATTTGTATCTGTTCACCATAAGTAATGCAGCAATGTTCCGAAAAATAAATTCTCCTTTCTTTTCCGAAAGCGATACCAAGGCTTCCTAAAATGATTTAAGTATTACTTAAAGGCATTTCCATCGCTCTATGTGGAAAATCTCAAAATAAAGGTGATGGAGAGTTGCAGATGCAAATATGCACAAAATCACGCCTCAACAGGCTCTTACGTATCAATAGCATGAATGACAGTCCTTGGACCGGAAGTCCAAGGATTGCTACACTGTGCTTGGCTAGAGAAAATTCGACCTCATCATCTGAAAAACAGGCATTTAAAAATGGCAAAGAATTTTTCTTTCGCTCAGATCTCGAGATTGATGAACCTATTGCATCGTAGAAATCAAGCTGCAACTGTTGCACATGGCGGTCTTGCAGTCTGTAATTGAATGGTCAGGTAGGGGGGTGTTTTAACATTTATGTGTTACTTTCTAAAGTTAATTGATAATCATAACATTTCTATCAAATCTTTGATGTTTTTAAATCGAGTTTTACCTAACTGCATTCATTTTTGAAAATCATTAGATAAAAAATTCAAATTTTTGTAGATTACTGCTTGTTAGGTTTCTTTTGCGTTTCAGTATATTACATTTCCCAAGAAGACAAACTGTGATGGGAAATATCATAGTCATAGCCAGGAATCTCTCCTTATTTTGTGACACTGAAATTGTTTATACTACGGTACTAATACCTTTACATTAAAAAGGGTATCTGAAAATATCACAAAAATTAAGCCTTTAGGGATTCACTGATGCTTTCATAAAACTTCAATAAATCAAATCCAAATGATAATCCTGTATAATAATAATTCAAGAAGACGCTATCTAGAAAAAAAGATAAATCATAGATTAAAAGAGGACCCATATATGAAGTGAAATAGATCATTCTGAGTCATGGTATTTGCAGTAACTACTCAGCGAGGATAAATCTTATTAAATTCTCAGTGATCTGGATTTGGTGTCTTGCTTGTGATTAAAAGTAAAACATATCGCGTGTTTGCCGTTTGTAGTCATCAGATGTCTGATTGATTACCAGAATTAATGGAGAAAAAAATCTCACGTAAGACCTTTGAGACTGAGAATTCTTTGGCAATTTGAATTCATTTATGTTTTTTCTTTACATTTACACTGAAAAAAACTTTCATGAACTATTCTTCTTAACTGGTATTCGAGCCAATTCGAGATGTTTTGTCATAGTTTGTCCCACATGAGCGCTTTAACGATATCTAATGAATTTTGTATTGGCTTGAACGAAAATATCATTCATCATTAAAAATTTATCACTTCCAAACCATTTTTAGTCAGATTGGATTCAACAGTTTAGAATAAAACAAGTATGACACGATTTTCAAAAGCTAATGGACATAAACTTACAATTTCAATAAACTCGGCCATTACCGTCAGTCATTATTTACAGATCTAGAGGTACGTATAATGCGAGTGCGACATTCAACTTGATTCCGAAAGCGTGCTAAGTCATTTCATCACTGACTTTGAACATATATCCTTTAAAAAGACCAAATGCCAAAATTGATATTTAAAAACTTCTTTTAAAAAAATATCAGAAGTCACCAGCTGCTTGTAAAGGACTGCAATTTTAGACCTTAAATTTACTCGGCATTTAGGGTCTTTGAGCAGTGAGGGTTATTAAATGTGCCAATTGTCTTGACATGTTTCCACATTTTTTTTTAATGTCTCGTTCGAAAGACCCACAATTTTCACTTTCTTTCTATAGTCAAGCATTACCTATCAACTTCAAAGTTTCTAATTTAATTTCTCTTGGTTAACTTTGCATTTCCTTTCAATTTTTTTGTAAAAAAAACTTAATATCGATGCGTTTGGTTAATCTACTCTGATCAATGCCATTACCAAAGGATTTACAGATTTATAGTTCATTGTACCAACATCAAACTCCAATGTGTTCTATCAACATAATTATAGTTCAAGAAATAAAAGTCTTTATTACATAATGTATTTGTCCAGTCATTGTATTTGTTAATTTAGTACACCATCAATGCTCATCTTGATTTAATAAACTTTTATATAATTTTACCTGTTACTAATTACCCGAAAAGCAGAAATTTTGTCGAGGACTCAATTTTGGCATTTTTATCGAGGGTGTTGAGATTTCCTTCTCTTAAATGAAAACTTAAATTAAATATCGCTAATAATTAATTCCGCATAAGAGGTTACCGTAATCTTTCTATGCACCATAAAATTGCTAAAATTACTTCTCGCTAAAATTAAATATTGATTTTTAAGGACAAATCGCTAAATTTGCGTCTAAAAATTACACTTTTACTTCTATGAGTGAAACAATGGACCTACACCTTAGAAACACTTATATGACTAGTACTAATGGAATATTCCGAGATCCTGTTTACCCCTGCATGGATTGGTAGGGATCTTTATCGTGCCAACGCCTGGTGTAGATTTAAGGCAAAAGACTTATGTAGACAGCATAGAGAGTTGATGGGTAAAGTTGACATAAACCCTACCACAAGTGCAAGTAATATAAAAGGTGTTAAGGGTGAATACATGGAACAATAAGACCAAAGGCTATGATTTCCATGTTCCTGGAAACAAAGATGTTTGGGGAAGAAGCGATGTTCATAACACACAAAAGTCAATTTACTCAGGGGCACACTGGCTCAATCTGAATATACCTTATACACCAATCTCAACTCTCCATGTACACTGGAGTACGTTAGGTGGTAGGTCAATGTCAACATCCACCAGTGTGACATGGGGTCTTGCAAAGGACAGAGACCCTATGCCTACTGCGCCAAGTACGTCATTCAGTGCGGCGTTCCCAGTGAATTAAAGCAGTGCAAATTGTCCTATTGGTAACACGTTTGATGAAACTGCGATGATGTCTGCGATATTTGATGGTGCTTGGTCCTGGATCGATAACAAAGTACATTTTGAGGCATGGAGTAGCACAAATATGTGGAATGATAGACAAAAAAGACTTGTGCCTGGCAGCATTAAGAGGCCAAGAACAAACAGTTCTAGGTAACATGAAAACATGAGATCTGTGTGAGGTGTTAGCGGCAAGATTTCCACCGACAAAACAGACAAAACTTGACTGAGCCATGTTAAAGGAAAATCAACAGAGGCCAAAGGAGACATTGCCAGAATTATGTAGAGGAAAGTACACAACGACAGCACATTAAGCGGATCCGACGGCACCACTTGAGGTCCCGGAGATGATGTTTAAAAACCAGTTCGTCGACGCCTTAACTGACTTTGATATGCGCCTAAGAATCCAGCAGTCGCGGCCCAAATCCTTAAATTACGCAGTTCGGTTTGCCGTGGAGATGGAAGCCTTCTGTAGAGCTGAATGCCAGAGAAGACATGATGTAAGTTTTGCCATAACAGTACATTTTGAATAGAAAGGCCATCAGAAGCTGATATCAATACGGGGAGATTTAAAACAATTACGAGATAAACTTCGATCGTTACTACGAACCCTTGAGAACAAAATAGCTACTTTGTCAGAATGCATAGATACCAGATAACTAAAAACAGATGAGTCGAGTTCGATACAAAGTTTTGTGTCAACAAAGCCCCCCCCCCCCTTTTCTTTTTATTAATGTTTATTTCAACTTTTACATTTATATCAAATAAACATATTTATACATATATCTTCACTCATGTGCATATTAAGAATACCATATACAAGGTACATTTACATACATAGATATACATTTACACACATACACGTATGTGAAAGTTGGTTTAATAAGGAAGAAGAGAAAAGAAGAAAAGAGAAATAGAGGAAAAGGAGGGAGAAAAAAATAAAGAGGGGGGCATAGTATTTTTTTTTTTAAATTAAGGTGGTAATGAGCCACATTCATTCCTTAAAAAATTATATGCATACAAATTACAACATTTCACATATTCTCTTCCAGTTATTTTCAAACTCTGTAAATTTACATTGTTTCAATAGTAAAAATTTCTCAATCAAGATTCTTTCTAATTTTTAATTATCAGAGTAATCAAATTTTGCACTTAATGTGTATCCTGTACTTATATTTACCAAATAATATTGTTGTTCTGTCAAAAACTGCAGATATGTTAAACTTAGAGAAAAAACCACTCTTCAATATCATTCCAAAGCTCTTTTACTAAATATCATTCAACAGAAAGATGTTCAATTGACTCAATGTCAGTCTTACAGAAACTGCAAGCTGGGGACTCCTTTATCTTAAGTTTAAAAAGATAAGAATTTGTTGGAACTATTCTATGTAAAATTTGAAATTGTAACCACTGAAGTTTTGATTCTTGTGTGACTTTAAATGGGAGTTCAAAACTTTTACTTCATTCAGGCAAAGGGAATAAATATCCATCTTCATTCCATTTTAAAATTGAAGTACTTGTTTCTTTCTTTCTATTAATAAGAATGTTATACATATCTTTACATCCTTTCATATTAATATAAAACATCTTCACAGAACTGGTTATATTTGGATCATAAGAAATCGCCACATTCATTTGGTTTTTGTTCACAAATCTGTCTAACACTGCCTGTTTCAGAATATTCAACGTAATTTGTTTTAACACCAAGATCTTTAAGGGTGTCGAGGCTTAAGAAATTATTATCAAGTCACTAATGAAAACATATGTGTTCTTGGAATAAATTTGTATCTTTCTGTTGTTCTACAAGACATATCTTAAGCCAACTTTTAAAGACTTCTATCCAAAAAGTGTTTGTTATTTTCTTACATAATTTAGCAGTAAAATCTGGACCCATTAACCAAAGATTTTTAATCTCTGTATGTAGTTGTGCTTGAAAGTAATTTTACCCATTTGGAATCTGAATGGGTGAATCTTCTTATCCAACTTGATTTTAATGCTATCATAAACTCTGAATAATCTACCATTCTAAGGCCACCATCTCTATAGTCTTGAATGATAGTATTTCTTTTTATTTATGGACTTTTCTTCCCCAAAGAAAAGAATAAATTTCATCCTCGAACACTTTTACAATTTCTAATGATGGATTAGGTAAAGTAAGTATCAAGTGATTTAATTTAGGGATAATCAATTACAGTTAACCTACCAATAGGGGTTAATTTTCTTAGTTTCCACTGATTTAATGTTTTTATAATCTCACTTAACTTTGATGTATAATTGAGATTAATCATATTATATAAGTCTACTGAAAATTTAATCCCTAAAAGATCAAAATTTCTGCTACTCCAGTCTAACTTCCATCTAGAATGTTGAAATACATCCTTTGATTTTTTTTTACTTCCAATCCATATCATTTTTGTTTTTTGAAAATTTATTTTGAGCCCTGACACCTTTGCAAAGTAGTCTAATTCTCTAAGAATTCCATCCATAGATTCAGGTGAACCGAAGTCGAATACGGGTTCAATTACTCAAACACGAGTTGTTTTTCAGTCTTTTTTTTTTCCACACAGGTCAATGTAAATAAAGTGCCTTGTACGTTGTTAGTGGATACTGGTGCTACACTGACAATTTTGTCAAGTAAATTATTTGAAAACATGTATGCTTAATACTAAAATTGTTGAGCTAATGCCTGAAACCCAGAAAATAAAACTAGGTGATGGATTGCCATTGCAAGTGCAAGGTAAGTGCACATTCGATTTTATGTTGGGAAATCATGAATTCACTTTTGAAGTAGTTGTACCAGACATCAGTACAGATGGAATCCTTGGTCTAGATTTCCTGAAACATAATAAATGTTTGGTACATGCGTTACGGATGGATACAGGGAACGTAAGACTCAAGGCTATGATTTCCATGTTCCTGGAAACAAAGATGTTTGGGGAAGAAGCGATGTTCATAACACACAAAAGTCAATTTACTCAGGGGCACACTGGCTTAATCGGGAGCAGAGCAAACGCGGGCCTCTAAAACATCAGAGGTGGGATCAGGTGCCATGGAGGAGTGAGCATCCCCTGCCGACCGATCACATCCGCATTGTGCTCCTTGTCATGATCAGGAAAATGAAAAATTCCGTAGACAATTTAGTGTGTAATAATGGCCTAACAATTGGTATGAAAAACGTTAGTCAGCATTTTGACTTAATTATAGATTGTATTTGCTGAAAATGTCATTGTATCGACCATAGAACTTTCGATACGATGACTTTAAACGAGACTGTTGATATTCTTGTTTCTTCAACTTGTTTGTTGTAACGTTTTTGGTATTCTTCAAGACTCGAACTACGACCCTCTACCCGAAATCAGATTAAATGGTCGAACGATTTAAAAAAAAAAAAACCTTAGCCATCATGTTAACTGCATATGTTTCGGACCACCAAATGATTAGGACAAACATTTACCATATGTGCTGATGGCCTACGGGTTTGCATATCATGTGAGTCCAGGATACACCCTTTATAGGCTTATGCTTGGGAGGGAAGTTTCTTCCTTTTTAGATATTATGTATCAACTCCCTATAAATCATGAAAGGACTACATGTACTGTACAGAAATATGCAAGGAATTTACGAGATACCATGCAAAATGATCATCGAAATACACGACTGTTTACCAATCAGACGATGCTACGACGGAAGAGATACCATTATAGGAATGCGACTGAGAAACAGTTTGAAATTGGTGTCCACATTGACAGGTTAAGATACTATGCATCCCAAAGACCTAGTTTTGAAACAGATGTACTAGGTGATGATGAACCTGGTGAATCAGAAGAAATAGTAAGAGAAGATTTGGACATTGTAAACTATGATGCAAATGAAAATGGTATAAGTGCAAAAGAATTAGATATTGAACGGGGATGCGTTAGGTATATCAACCAACACAAATTTTAATGAGATGGAAGTTGAAAACACGAGTAGAAGGCAGTGTAGGAGGCCTAAATGACACTCCAATTATCAGTTTGATTATACTCTATAATATGTATAGTAAATGTACTTTGCAAAATAAGCAATATTCTTTGTTTTTATTACAGATCATGGCTTTGACTAAAGTTACCTATAGGAAGCCGGGCCTTCTATGTTCCATTTGCCTTTGTCGCCTCTCTTCACAAGAGGAATAGTAAGAACATCCAGCGTGTGCCACTGATGACATGAATAAACGAAGATCCGAGTTTAACCGTGCGACAAGGCATTTGCTAAACACTCCTTTCTAATGAGACACCAGAAACGATTACAATCAACTACTAGTTTGCAAGATGGAGAAAGAAATGAACTCCAAGTAGGTAGCTGTAGATGACAATTATTGTGAATCTGATTGGCAAGTGATCCAGGTGATCTAATTTATGAGACAGACCTTGAAATTGGTAGAACCATCAGGAAGAAAACTTCGCCAAGTCCTGCAGTCAAACGCAAAGCAGACAAGTGTAATGACAAAGCGCCTGACCCACCTGAGGACAAAGGTTGGAGTTTGGTGGATGATTGTAAGGATCATGAGACGCCCATGGTTTTGCATCACTGCCCCTGTTGTAGAGAACATGTCACTAAGTTGGATTTAAGCACTCAGACGGATACAACTCGCCACCAGAGGACAGTCAGAGTTGTGAAAAAATACCAGAGTGACTGTAAATGCGTGGAGAGCGTCGAAAAAGACATTTGGAATGACCAATTGTACTGTGGCAAGAAACAGTGTATATTAGACTATTGTTGTAATTACTTAATTTCGTCATTTGATTAGGTAATAGAAAGGAATTCTTAACTTACTTTATGTTTGCCCTATTTTCATTGCTTTATACAACAATACATAACCAATAAACAAGCGGGACACAAGTATACAGAGGCGTAGGTAGTGTAATGAGTAATGAGTGATACAATGGGCCTTTACCTTCCAAACACTTGTGTGACTCGGATTAATGGAATCATCCGAGATCTTGTTTATCCCTGTTTGTTAGGTATAGCCCTTGGCTATATAAAGCACTGCTATACCAGTTTCATTTGCAAATTTCAAAAGGCACAAGCAGGAGCAAATATGTAACACTTAGAGGCAACAGCATTGCCCAAGCATAAGCAAATGCAAAAAATCTATAAGGCAACAATATTGCCTTGTATACGTAGAAGCAACCATTCGTCTTGGGGGCAAAAACATTCTGCCTTAAAATATATCAATCTTAAAGGCAAAAGCATTGC